CCTAGTGCTCAGTGTGTCTGGTTTTGCTTCCCCTTGTCTCATTAGGTCTGATTCATCCCAGCTATCTTACCACCTGTTTCCATCCTCTCGTTGTCCTGCTTGTGTATTTAAGTCCCGTGTTCCTTCCTGTTAGCTGTTATGTTGTACCTTCACTATACTGTGTTTCTTCCCTCTGCATTCCCACTTAATTCCTAGTTGTCAGTTCCTGGTTTATTTTGTAGTGTTTTAGTTTGAGTTTTTTAGTTTCAAGTTTTCTTTTTGTATTTGTAGTAAGTTATTTACAGCGAAATAAAAGCTGCCTCCTTTAGTTCATCCCTCTGTGTCCTGCGAGTCCTGCATTTGAATCCAATATCCTGCTTGCACACAAAACATGACATTAATGGTGTGCTAGTTGTTGCCTACCTACCGAGCTTTGGTTAAGATAAGGTAAACACATTAGAAGAGCAAAGATGGAGGATGAGTGTTAGAAGGATGAGAAAATAAACTTTTTTCAGTAAAAGTTAATGTGAGAATCCCTGATAGGCAGAGACAAATGCAATCATATAGTAAAACAGACGCTGAAAATGGATCAGACTTCAGTCAAGACAACATCTGAGATCCATCCACAACACAAGGTTAATTAAGCTCCATTCTGTCCAAGTAATCTTTCAGATATACCACGTGTTCATGTGTGTGTTTAAACATTCAGCAATTACATTCCTTTTCAAGATAAATAAAGCACATAGAGACAACATGTTTCCGTGCACCTCAATTTATTTCAGATTTCCACAACACATATGAATCAACGATAAGACCTAGACAGTTATAATTCATCTAAAGGCGTCACTCTTAGCTTTGTTCACATTAACTGGAAAACCAAAAAATCAGTTTTATTTGTTGTTGGATATCATCCACCTATGCTTTATTCAAATTTTTTATACAAAGTCTAAGACATATTTTTTTCAGTCTAAAAACATTGCATTAAAAACATTAACTTTAGGGGATTTCTTTAAATAGAGGCATGCATAACCCAGCCACAGGAGGCCACAAGCCAATTTACTCCTGGTGCCAAACCAAAGCCCAGATAAATGGTGTGGGTTGTATCATGAAGATCATAAAGAATGAAATTTCTGTACCACTTTGTTTGTGGCCCAGGTTAATAATGACTGACTCTAGTGCTGTTAGCTGACAGAGTGCTGGCTAACACTCTAACTTCTAAATGAAGTGCTCTGATTTGTAAAGCGGATATGATGGAGAAAAGGAAGGTTTTGCGTGTGAATGAGACCAGGACAGAATGAGATGGACATCAATGATTTACTGTGGCACACAAAAAGGGAGCAGCTGAAAGAAGAAGAAGAAGAAGAAGAAGAAGACGCTCACTACTGAGAATCAGGAGCATCATGTCAAAACTTCAATATAGCCTATGTTGTTTTTGGCTAAATTCTTTACTGTCGGAACTGTTGCAAAGCAGATGTTACTATTGCAGAATGACACTGAAATCTTTCTAAAAAAAAAAATTATTTTAGTTATACAGACAGTTATTTGAATTATCCTCTTTAGATACTTCACATGAATCTGACCAATCTCAAGTTTACACTTAGTTTAGGCCACCCTCCTCCACAGGGCACTATAAGCTGACTTCTTGCTTCTCTTTCTTTACACTTCTGTTGGCGTCACAGTGCCACCCATGAGACGGCAGTGAAAGGAGGTGAGGCGAGCTAGGACTTCTACCAGGGTGTAATGAGGAACAAGGATGCATAATCTGCGGGAGAGCACCACAAACAAGAGTCAACTTTTTTGAAGCAATACAACATGCAGTACAAACCTCAAAACGTTTTAGGATTTCATATACTTTACCTCAAATGGAAGCTGTCAGTCATTTCCCCATGTTCACCTGCACCAGCTAATACACCCTCCTCTTCCAGTAATTTCTGACAGTACAGAACATCAGCTTTCAGCCCCAATAACTGAAAACAGAAGTGCATATAGGACAGTATGGCTTTCAACTTTTGTACCATCAGAATGATGTTCAAATTTTTTTCACAATCCCTCAATAGTCTGTTTTCAAGGTTAAGCCTTGTAAGGAATAAAGGTGGAATCAGGTTCAAGTAAGGATAATGGTTTGGCATTTGTAATGGCTAAACTTAGTGGTTAGACTTGGTATTCCATTAACATTGATGATAGACTGATGGAGAAAGAAAGATGGAAGATTGTTGGAACATTTCCCACCTTGGCCTGCTCCTTAATCCCACATGGTAAGTGCAGGCGAGGAAAAACATAGATTCCTCCGAGCGCTGGCTGACACCTTACCCCTGGCAGTTTATTTAGGAGCTCCTGAACCCATTGAGCATTATGGGACAGAGTAGCCAGGATGAAGAAGGTCTCCTTTGTGAACAGAACAACAAGTAATTAAAAGTAAGAGTGTAACAAAGGACAACTGTTGGCTTTTGCTGTTTCCTCACCTGCATGTATGTGTGATACGATGGGTCTCCAGGTTGTGGCGGATTGACCATAAGATCCAAACCAAGCTGTCCTGTGACTGGAGTACTGATATCACCACACAATGAGTTATCAAAATAATAAATCACCTCTGGATCCATATTAACTACCTCCATGTATCCAGCCCTCAGACCACACCTAAGATGCAGACACAGATTATTTTAATTGATTCATCAATATAATGCATTTAAAATTTGAGAAATGTCTAAACTATTCATTTAAATGCATGCATGGTATAAGAAGGCATGAAAAGTAAAGTTTGAAAGTATATTTCAAAGTGTATTTAGCCTACATTAATTCTAATGATCAGTATGTGGTTGCATAAACAAGCTATGCTATAGAAGCCTAAAGCCCTTTTCACAAAGGACACGGCGCATACAGTGCTGCACACAGAAACACATTCATTTCTATTGCTTGAGGTGCAGAATAATGGTTTACTGCTGCATCAAGCAAAGTGCAGCGCAAGCATATCAGCAAAAGGTACTGACACATCCCGTGGTCAAAGTTCAAACCAGTTTAACTTTGACTGCTGCGCGTTGTTATGTAAATTTGTGCAACCAATAAAAAAGAAGCCTACAGCTGCACTAAGTTCAACCATAGGATGAAGAAAAACATTTTGCGCATATTCGAGTTGGGTGAACTTTGTGACAGAAGTTAAGGTGCATAGTTTTTATACTTCCAGAACTTCTTCTTTAAAGCTTTCTTCTTTGAGAGATACTTTTTTTCACATTTGAAAATAATACAACACAAACTCTCAAAGAGGACACAAAGTCACAGAGATACATGTTTTGAAATGACACGGAGCAGGGGCATCTAGTACATGTAGAGCAGCCATAAACAAAACTGACATACAAGCAGAGCGCAGCGGCATTTTTAATAGATAAAAAGGCAAATGGTTTGAACATGAATTAAGGCTGTAGATTGGGGAGAGCCTCAGGTGGGACTGGCGGAGGCTCTCAGGCCAAGTAGATCTCCGTGTACTAATAAAAAGCTTGTATAGCAGAGTGTGTCAGATATAGATAGAGCCAAAGCAGACCCAGCAGACTTGCTGTGGTGCAAGTAGTGGTAGAATGGCCTGTTCTGGCTGGAACCAGGCTGGACCCAACTCCGGTGTTTCCTAGTATTTGCTACAATTGATTTATTTGCAACTTCAGCCAAATAGCCCAAACACTCACTAACCTAACATCTCCCAAAGTTCCTTTTCAGTGGATGCCTCCCCTCAAGAAGCCTTTGACACACTCTTCGCTTCAGCCTCCATCCCCATTAAGCCACATCCATCTCAGGTAAAATGCACCCATATGCCATTTTCTCTCGCTGTCTCTTTCCCAAAAAACAATAGACTGTTGGAGACTGCAAATGCCAGCTTTCAAGCTAGACTTGGGGAATGGAGACATTGGCTAGAAGGACTTGAGCACCCTTTCTTTACATGGATAGACCTCAAGATATGCTTGCATATCTTCAAGCACAGTGCCTTTTGCTCATCAAGCCATACAGATGCAATTTTTTCTGCACAAGTCTGGAGGCCTCCACCCGAGCCAGAGGTTTCTGCACCTGCTGGTCCCATCACCTCCGCCGGTCCACAGTGGCGCATCGCTGGACTGGCAATATCTCAATTATAAAGTATAGAAAATTGACTGAGGCCTAAAATGATATTATTACAAATATCTTTAAATAAAACTACATTTTTGCGCCTCCGGCTTCCAGTTGAGCTCCATCGCCACCACTGTCCATGCGGCCATCCACCAGAACTTTTGTCTGGGATCCTGTTGAAAATTGTTGTTGACAAACATAAGAGACAGAACTCACTCTCTAATGCAGGTACTGGATAAAGAGTGGAAGGAGATCAGCTGCACTGTTTCTGCAAGCTCTCTATCCATTTCAAACAGGACTTTCTTATAGGAAATAAACTCTCTGTCCTTCCCATACACGCTGTCCTGGTATACCTGGAGTGCAGAGGAAAGAAACTGATAGATAAAGAAAACCTGACAAATGCATAATAAAAAGCCAATCTGAAAAGACAGCTCATGGTCACCTCGTCAGCTAACAGTAGGACTCTCTCAGCTGCTGCGAACTGAATCACTTCCTCTATTGACTTCCTGTCCTGCACATGACCTAGAAAGACAAAGGTAATATAAACAGTGATGAAAGAAGACTGTATCTCCATCTAATGTACAGTACAGTGCAATAGTTACACCATTTGGCACATCCTCTACAGTGAAAATAACAAATAGCAAAGTTTTACAGATTACAGTCTAAAGTAAAATGTCAGTCATATATATTTAACCTCTTTAATATTCTGGATATTTATAATTGAGCTATTTGTATATATTAGAGTTATTTCTAATATTTTGTAATTTTTTAATATATTGTATTATTTAATTTACTTCAGTCAGTTGCTGTCCAGCAACTGTAACCACATAATTTCCTTTGGGATTAATAAGGTATGCTGATTCGGATTCTCATTTCACTTAGCTACTGTGTTTTACTTACCTGTGGGATTTCCCGGGTTGCTGATGTAAATGGCTCTGGGCTCACAGTACCCCCGAGCAGCCTTTAAAGCTTGATGCAAGTTGTCCAGGTCTACAGCCCACCCTCTCTCCTCTGTCAGCTGGTACGGTACCAAGACCACCCCAGCCTCCTCCAGCACATTGTACAGCATGTGTGGGCAGGGCCCAGGTATCAGCACGCCTGTCCGAGTATTCCCCTCACCACTGGCCAGCAGTTTCACAGCAATCTTATAACAATAATCGAAAAAGCTAAATTTTTTTCCTTTAGGGAGAGCAATCTTTCCTGTCACTTTTTGCTAGAGGTTATTAAAAAATCAGGAATAAATGAAATAAAAAAGAATGTTTGAAGCAGAAAACAAGGTAAAACTGTTTCCCCTCGCAACTCATTTTGCAACAATGAGAGATCACTCACACATTTAAGCTTTTCTTTATGTGAGATATACACATATTGACGGGGTCGGGTTATGTTAAAAAGTATAAATTGTTATACTTTGTTCATTGGTTCAAAGGTACCCCACACTTCTTTTTTGTTTGCTTGTTTGTTCTGGTGTATTTTTCATTTGAACCGTTATTCTGCCAGAGTACACATATTTACCAGATGGCATGAACGCCCCATTGGTGTGTCAGGAAAACTCTTTTGTACGTATGTTCCTTGAAGGGGTTTGGAGTCGTTCTTTTTTCCACCGCAGCGAAGGGCTAGGAGTTGGAGAGGAGCTGCTGTATGTTTGTGTTATCGATCTGATTGTGAAATAAGGCATATGCAGTGAGAAAGCAACTCCCGGAGTCATCCCTGCCTTAAAGCTGCAACATTTACAACTAACTCAATAAACTATGTTTAAAGACTAAATTAATGCAATACACCTGGTTGTTTCAAAGATTCTAAAAATATGTTACATGTAGAAGTAAACATGTTTAAGCTGTTGTTTGGGGATATTTTGGTTGAGGTTTTTACAATGTGTAAAGACTGGACATTATTATTAATACAAATCATATTATTTTTCAGTTAAGTGCAAAGATAAAATGTGCAAGCTAAACAACTACTACAGTTTGCTATAGCAGAAGATACATAAAAAAGTAATGGAAAGGATTTCCACGTCATCAAATTGCTTTATTTCAGCATTATGCAGGTCTGTTATTCCAACTTATTGTAGGGGAGACCGGGGATAGTTGTAACGTGGGTCAGTTGTAACACTTCCAATTTCTGCAGTCAGGGCTAAGTTTCAAATGATGTGACTCATCCTGTGCATGCCCAATTCAGTTCTGCTATCACATGTGAAAAATCAGCACATTTTGTCAAACACAGACAATTT